ACGCCCTGTACACGTGGGACCAGCTAGGTGCTCAGACTACGTCCTGTGGCACGGTAGCCTGCAAACACCTTTCATATCACATCCCAGTAGCCAGCTTAGCACACTCCTTTGCACAGACATGCAATTCGGCCTCCAAGACCCAGACACAAGTCTGGCCCTTGCACTGTACTGGAGGAGGAAGTAGTCTCAACCCAAGCCTCCACCAAGGTTGGGAACTCTGTCATAATGGCATCTTTCTCCTGAGGAGAGTCAGGGCAGAAGCAACCCAGCTCAAGAAAAGGTGGCCAAGTCTCATAAAGGCTCCTTAAATACTGTCACCAAAAGACTGAGCAAAAAAAGGGGAGAGAGGTGTCCTAAGTCAAGAAACAGAGAGGCTGTTTTTTGGGGGTTTTTTTGTTTGTTTGTTTTTTTGCGGAACCGGGGATTGAACTCAGGCCCTTGACCTTGCCAGGCAAGTGCTTATTCTACTGAGCCATCTCCCCAGTCCCTTGTTTTGTTTTTTGAGCAAGGTTTCACCATGCAGCTTAGGCTGGCCTTGAACTCACCATGTAACCCAGGCTGACCTTAAATACCCAGATTTTTTTGCCTCAGCCTCCAAAGCACTGGGAGTACAGGCATACACCTGACAGAAGCTGCTTTCTAAGAGCACAGTAACACAGCAATCAAGAATGCACACTTCTGGGGAGATGGCTCAGTAGAATAAGTGCTTGCCTGGCAAGTGCAAGGGACTGAGTTCAATCCCCAGTTCCACAAAAAAAAAAAAAAAAAAATGCACACCTCTATAGGACACGGCACCAGTGTGCCTGTGATGGTACCTCCAAGGGAGCCTCACCTTTCACCCAGGACTCACCTTTTCGAAGAACCCGCTTCTTTGCTCGAATGTCCGTTTCTAGCTCTGCTGCTCTGATATAAATCCTAACAGACTGTGGGAGATGACGGACAGCTTGGGCCACAACAGCCTTAGCTGTGTCTCCAGGCTGCAACCTGGCTGCTTCTAGCCAGACATCTTCACTCTGGGGCAAAAGAACAGAAGCAGTAAGGGAAACACAGAGGAACAGCAGGCACCTGAGCCCTAGACTCTAGAGTCACTCATCTTGGCCACAAACAAACAGCTTTCGCTGTGGTGCTAAGACTTTATGGTTACTGCATATGCTTACTGCATGTCTGAATGAAGAACAGATTGTATCTTGGAGAGGACAATACAAGGTGGCCTGGGCCAGCCAAATAGCTCAGCAGATTAAAGCACCTACAGGCACAGGGGCTGGGGCCCCAGCGGCGGCACGTGCCTGTAATCCCAGCCCTTGGGAGGCTGTAACAGGCGGATCACTACAAGTGCAATCTAGTAGTGAGACCCTGAACACTCTGTAGACCTTTCCTTAAAAATACAAAAAAAAAAAATAAAAAACAAAATGGCCTGTAGGCTAAGTTACCAGCAAAACAAAAAACATACATTTGCCTGGAAAGTTCCAATCTGTGCCTAATACCCTAGAGTAATTCCTCCTAGGGCTTCTTTTACTGCCAGTGCTCAGTTTGTACACTCAATTACATGGGCACATAGAAGATTTCATATTACTTTTTAAGACTATCTAATCATTTCATCTCTAAAACATCGTAGGGGCCGGGGAGATGGCTCAGTAGAATAAGCGCTTCCCTGGCAAGCTCAAGGGCCTGAGCTCAATCCCTGGTTCTGCCAAAAAAAATTTAAAAAAATAAAACATTGTAGGCTTAATATATTCTGAAGAGTTAAGTGCTAACTTTATGGTTTCTTAACATTATGTGGAGCAAAGGACTATCCAATTTAGATTTCTGGTGAAAGTTACCCTGCTACTAAAATAATGGTGGCTCAACCTTTGTTCCAGGTGAAAACGAGGAAAAAAAAAAAAAACCTCTTTCCTACTCTTCACAATTTCTCCCAGCTGGTACTATCATCCACAAGTATAGATAAACAGGGGCCCCTCAGGGGTAGCAAAAAACCCTGCAATGGGCTTCACCTTAGGACACATCTCTGTCCCTTTCATAATAAGGTTCCGAGCTACTTGCAGCTTTCCAGTCACTTCCTCCAAGCGTGCAGAGGCAATCCAGGCTGGCGGGTGATGAGGGTTTGTCTCCCGAACAGACTTGAGGAGCAGTCGTGCTTTCTTGATATCACTGTATGAGTGAGAGTGCACACAGCATCAGGCCACACTAGTAGAGGTGCACCCATGCCCAGGAAAAAGGACCCAGACACAATACAAAAACTGCAGATTCAATTAGAAGCAATACAGACAACTCGGCGCCTAGTCAGAACTATTCCAAGACTGTTTAAAACACTGCAAACAAAACCTAACACCAAAGGTCCACATTTAGTAGCTTTCTATAGAGCTCAGTATAGCCACAGACTTTGAATATTAATTGTAAAACACTTAACACTCATAATAATTGAATACAGATACTTTCCAGACACTTTTTTTTTTTTTTTTTTTTTGAGACAGAATCTCACTATGCAGTTCAGGCTTGCCTTGAGCTCACTTTGTAGCCCAGGCTGGTCTCCAACTTGCAAGGATCTTTCCTGCCTCAGACTCCTGAGTGTGGGGATTAGAGGCATGCACCACCATGTCCAGCCAGATACATTTTAAATAGAAAACCAAAGATGGGCATGGTGGTACACAGTTATAGTCCCAGCACTCAGGAGAGTAAGGCCCTAGTGAGAGAAATGGGGGGAGGACCCCAAAACACTACTTTTCTCAGAATATCTACTTTTTTTTTAAATGTTTTATTTATTTATTATTATTTTTTATTTATTATTTGTGTGTGGGGGGGCCAGCTTAGCCCACCAGGCTAAGTAAGTGATTTTCATTTTCCTTCTCTTTCTCCTCTCTCTCTCTCTCTCTCTCTCTCTCTCTCTCTCTGCCCCCCTCTCCCACCCCCTCTACTTGGCAGAGGGTCCCACTATGCAGCTCCTCTTGCTTTCAGCCTCCCCAGTGCTGGAATTATAGGCATGTGCCACCATGCCCATTCTCAGTGGCAGGCTTAGTGCACCCAGGGGCAGGGCCAGTGTGGCATGTGGTACCTTCCCTTGCTACACAGGTGCTTAGTCTGCTGAGCTATCTCGCAGATCTCTTTTTTTTTTTTTTTGTGGCTGGCTCAGCCTGCTACGGGGGCTGGGCTGGCTCAGCATGTGCTTAACACCCCTGAGCTATCTCACCTGTCCCCCTCTTTTTTTTCTTTTCTGGCGGAACCAGGGATTGAATTCAGACCCTTGCGCTTGCCAGGGAAGTGCTTATTCTACTGAGCCATCTCCCCAACCCAAAGGGGAAAGGTGTAATAACAATAACCTTGATTTCCCCCAGTTCCGTCAAAATAAATAAATAAATAAATGACTAAATAAAATAACCTTGATTTCTTTTCTTTTTTTTTTCAAAGACAATGTAGCTCAGGTTGACCCTGCTAGCCTCAAACTCATGGTGATATGCCTGGCTCAGCCTTTCAAGTGGTAGGATTACAGGCATGTGCTACCACACCCAACTGTCGCATTTTGAATGTATATTTTCAAAATAAAATCCAAAACTCTCTAGGAAACTAGAATTCCCACCCCAACCTACCAATTCTGAAAAGCACTCACTTGATGTCCCCTCCGTGGGTTGGGATCATAGAGTTTAAATCTGTCAGATAGCCTTTGGGGTCCACAACAGTCTGTCCACTCACTGAGTCAGACACCTGTGAAACAGATTTGGCTGAGAATCAGCTAGACATGACAAAAAATGTCCAAAACAAAGTATTCACAGAGTCCCCGGAACCTCTTTCCATAACCCTGTTCATCACTGGGTAGTCAGAAGGAAGGAAACAAATTAGCCCAGTATACTAGTAATGCCAGCATTCTGGGAAGCTGAGGCAACAGGATCACAAGTTAAAGCCCGGCCTGCGTAACTTAGCAACTTAGAGACCTCATTTCAAAATAAAAAGTTCGGGCCAGGGAGATGGCTCAGTAGAATAAGCGCTTCTTTGGCAAGTGCAAGGGCCTGAGTTCACTCTCCGGTTCCACCAAAAAAACAAAACAAAACAAAAAAAAAAAAACACTACCATTTCCTGAACTGAGTCCTGGAAGTCACAAAATAAAAAGTTAAAAAAGGAAAATAACTTTAACTCAGATAACAGTTTGTGGTGATAATAAATAAGTTTCTTCCATATGAAAAAGATTTACATTAAAAAAAAAATGAAATCTGGGCTGGTCAAATAGCTCAGCAGATGGGGTTCGATCTCTGGGCCCCACCTCCACCCCAGGGGCGCACTGAGACCAAAACCAAGACTGGGCAACTGAAACTGGGCGTGGTTACATATGCCTGTAATCCCAGCTCTTGACAGGCTGTAAGCAGGCGGATCACTATAAGTCTGATCTAGTAGTGAGACCCTGAAAACCCTGTAGCCGCTCCCTGAAATACAAAAAAAAAAAAGAAAGAAAGAAAGAAAGAAAGAAAGAAAGAAAGAAAGAAAAGGGGTCAGCCAGATAGCTCAGCAGATTAAAGCACATGCTTAGACAAGTGCAGGGGACAGGGGTCCAATCCCCATGCTGTGCCGGCCTCACCCCTGGGGCGCACAGAGAGGGGGACTAAGACTGGGCGTGGTGGCGTGCATTTGTAATCCCAGCACTTGGGAGGCTGAAAACAGGAGAATCACTATGAATCAATCTACACAGTGAGACCCTATACACTCTGTATAAAATATATTTTTTTAAAAAAAGAGAGAAAAGAAAAAAGAAATTTGCTGGACATGGTCATGTATACCTATAATCCCAGCACTTGGGAGCCTTAAGTAGGATCACATGTTCAAGACTAGCCTGGGGCTAGTGAGATGGCTCAGTGGTCTAAAGCACCTACTTAGAACAAGCTAAGCTAAGCAAAGCACAGGGACCACGGTTCAATCCCCTAGCACCACATGCCAGCCAGCCCCGCCCCCTGGTGGGCTGAGTTGGCCACACACTAAATAAATAAATAAATAAATG